TTTGCTTCAATCAGGTCATATACAATGACCATGAATATGGTAAGTACGTCGTTTCCTCAAGTATTATTGTTTTTTTTTTACATATTTTACTGTCTTATACATATTATTACATTCCTTATTTTGTTTTGATAACCTTAACGAAGAAAACAGTAAGTAAACATAATTTTTATGTAATTATTACTTTAAAATGTCATGTTCGCTATAAATTTCTAATTTATAAATAGAATTAGTTTCTCACGATATGCGTTACGCTAAGATAAAAATAGGTTTTAAAAAAGCTTCATTAAAATAACAAATTAAATTCAGATTAATTATATACAATGTGTAACAGCCAAATGGAATAAATTCAGTAACTCAATTACTGTGCACATTTATAAAAAATCCCAAAACCTGTCAATTTTAGAATATAAAATGACCATTGGCTTACATATTTTATATTTTCCTCAATGTCTATTATTATTTTGTCTAATATTCAGCGCAAACCGCTTTGGCACGACACTGGACAACCTGACGTTGAGCGACATTCCGAGAATTCCGAAATAAAGTGGAAGATGGGCACAGTAAATGTGTGCGTGCCTCTGTTGTTTTCTCTCTCATTATGATGCGAAAAACAAGGACAACGACAATATCGCTTAGCAAGAGATGAACACATGCGATGGATTATACGTCACAAGCGAAGCGCTGTCCTCATCGTGACGTGCTGTACCCATGGCACAGATTACCTAGACCAGATACGAATGTACGCAGCGGCATATTTACCGGCTCCCTTACAAAGGCGATGCCGGTTTCGGCTTAAGGTGCGCGTTTGTTAGACCATGATAATAATTTATTTATTGTGATTACGAAAAAACGTTAGTTGGATCATTGGAATAGTTAAGAAATAAAACTACAAAGAAAAATAACTTTTTTTTATAAAGCAGTCAAAAATATGATAAAAAAAAAATTAATAATATTTATAAATGGGACAAATTTTTGGTTTTGTCTGACTTTTTCAAGGATTTCAAATCTCTGTTTGCATATTTAAGAGTATAAAAAATTCTGAGTCTTATAAATAATTTAATGGTGTACATTTTCGAAAATTGTTGGCAAGGATGACAAAATTCTATTTTGCTCATCTCAAAAAGGTATGCGTTGGTAATTCCAGGCTTAGTTGACAAACAAATAGAGATATAAATATTTTTTCTAATTTGAAAATATAAAAGAGACATTTTTCGCTGGGAGATTTTAAATTGCCAAACACCTTTTCTTCAGAGTCGAATCCTTTAAAATGCGTTAACAAGTTAGAATTGTTAAGTAAATTGCATTCTTCTGAGAAATTTACGAAAATTTCGCAAGAGTGGATATGTAATGATTTTTTGATTAAATAGCCACATACATAGTTAAATGCATTTTGAGTGGTCACATTTAGCTCCCTGTAGTCACATTCAGAAATCGTTATTGCCCCAACTGATTGTTTTGAAATATATATAATTTTCATTAAGCGGAGAACTTGTTTTTCCTAAGGGAAAAAATCCCGGGATTCCTTTCCAGTGTGTGCCTCACTGCCGCTACTGCAAACGAGCCGCCACTGAAAATGACGTCCTGCAACGTGAAAATTTCATCTCTACCTTCAACCTCCTTTAAGTGACAGTTGCAACTCCCAAATTTTTAAATAGGAAGTAGGGGCTTGTGATACCTCATTTGAAAGGTCTCTTCATGCTCTATTCAGAAATTAACAGTAAAAAAATTAATCCATCTGATCAACAAAATTAATAACTAATATAGTTTCGTTCTTGATAATGAGAAATCAAACAAAAACAATTTCAGTGTCCTTTTTCGACGGTACTTATTTCGTTTAAAACGCCTTAGCAACTTGTTGCATGAATGTAGCTATATGACTATAATTGCTGTCAGTGTTGTACTTGTCATTTGAATATATTAACTATAGATCAAAAACATGGTTTATTTAACAGAAATACATGAAATAACAATTTTACAAATAAATGATTGGTTACGGAGATAAGACACGAACACAGATCAAGAAACATTTCCCAATTTGGCGCCTATATCTCAAGGGACAATTGAAAAACAATTTCGAGAGCATGGACATGTAAGGCAGATAAAAAACTAAGTAATGATGCCAAATTGGATTTGAGGAGAATCCATATACTTCGAGTCGACAAGCAGCCGCAATATTATATGGTGTTAGCCATACATAGATTACTTGAATATTAAAAGAAAATAAAATGCATCCCTATAAATTGATACCAACTCAGGAGCTCATGGAAGACGATTTTGGTAGAAGAATGCATTTTTGTGAGCAAATGATGGAAATGTTAAAAAACAAAGTTATCCAACTAGAACTGGATGATAGAAGAACATGCACAATACCCTGAGAAGGTTAATGTTTGAGCAAGCATAGTTTGAAACCGATATGATTCCAGCAGGATGGAGCACAACTACATTACCAAAACAATCTCCGGCAGTATCTCGACCAAATATTTCCAAATCGGTGGATAAGGAGGCAAGGATTGATACAATGGCCAACAGATCACTTGATAATACGCTTACGCTTCTGTTGAGTTGCTAAGGCATTGTGCAAGGCATTCATCAAAAAATGGATGCAAAAAGTGTCTCAGGAATGGTGGAAAAACTATCCAAGACTGAGACAGGCCTAACAGTTCATCAAGGAACCATCGGCCAAGTTCCACGAAATACCTACTGGATCAAAAGCGTTAGGATAACAGTAGGTCTTCTTACTGGATACTGTCGCCTTAGAAGGCACATAAGTGTCATCAATTCAGCATAAGAAGCAACTTTGTGCGGGTTCTGTGATTAATTCCACGTCCTGTACCGATGTGAGGTCTGGCTAGAATAAGGTTTCTAACATTGGACGAAGCAAAGCCAAACGCATGCGGGAGCCACTGTCAAAGCTACTAAGTCTAATAAAAACGACCAAGCTAGACGACATGCTCTAAAACAAACGATTAAGCTAAACCACGTGATTTAGCTGATGTAAGAAAAAAAAAATAACGTTGTCGATTACATCGGTCACGCCTCAGATGTTGATTAACATCAGAAGACAATTTTATTTACAATTAGGAAGCTGTCAGGACGTTCGAGACAAGCATTTTAAACATCTGTTGCATTGGGATTAATGTTTTTGTTATTATTTTTTTTAATTATCAAGAACAAAATTCTATTAGTAATAATTTACTTTTTAACTGTTGTCAATTTTTGCATTGATTGGAGAATGAAAAATCCTTTCAAATGAGGTATCACAAGCCCCTACTTTCTATTTACAAATGTAGGAATTGCAACTATCACTCAAAGGGGGTTGAAGGTAGGGGTGACATTTTTACTTTGCAGGATGTCATTTTATAATCTAAAATTGCTACTGAATTTATTCAATTTGGCTGTTACACACTATATACAAACAGTAGTAAATTGTTTTCTTTCATTTGTCAAACCGATTTCAGTTGTTTTTGTTTGCATAAAATAAATAAGTTTTTGAAAAATTAATTCCGTTTTATTACAAAACTTTTTAAATAATTTTCTTTATAAAAAAAAACTTAAAAAGTATCTTTGACCACACTGCTCCTACCTCGTAAGTTCCGAAAATCTCTATAAATTTTGACAGATGTCAGTCTTTTATTTTGAATCTGTAGTATAGTAAATAGTTTTTTTTAAATATTCAAAACTTTGTTAGTAACATTTTTAAATATGAAAATCAAAGTATTTGCTTAAAATTTTTAAATATAGTATTTTAAATATACAATTAATTTAAAATAGCGCCCATCTCTTGATTTTTGTGTAGTTTGGTTGTTTTTGGGTATTTATCATTTATCAGTGAATTTTTATTTTTATTTTTTGTATTGTTTTTTTTTGCCAAATATTGACTAGAAATAATACGATTATATTTTATTTCAAAACTTACGTTTCATTTGTCCCATTTTCAGTTATAACCAAAACCGCAGGATGTAACACACCCAGCACTAGCACTGCTCACAGATCATTCGCAATTAACCATAATAATACTTATTTTTTCCGACTCAAACTATTGCATTGATTGTCCTCAAGTTCAACACCGCTACTGACGGAAAGTGTATCTAAGTTTTGCCATTTATTTCATTCGAATTTTCAAGAGCGGGTCGAGGCTGCCGAATTACCCAAGGAAAATGTGTTGCAAATGTAAAGGTGCAACAACCTTTTTGTAGAGAGGAAATTTTGCAATAGCTGCCGGTGCTTTAAAGAGATTATAAAAAATGTGTTGCAGGAACACCGTTAATTAATATGATTATGAACGATTGACGGTAAAATATCAAATCTGGTTATTGAATGAAACAATAATAGTTTGTGCAACAAGAGTGGATATGGACAATTCACTCGAGTTGTACAGTATATTTTTTATACGATCCACTAACGAAAATCTACAAATAATAAAAATTATTTTAGGTTAATAGGATAAAATAGGTAATTTAAAAATAATTTGACTTTTACTAATTTGTAAAATAAAATAAAAAAAAAAGAAAAAGTTCATTTAATTTTTTCCCAGCCGAGAATCGAACTCTAGTCTTCGTTAGTTTATAAATACTTTAAGTAAAATACTTAAAGTAAAAAAAATACTGATTATTTATTTCAAGTACGTTTTTGTACTGAGTACCTCAGCTCTGTCTGTAAACACTGTATAAAATTGCTTCTCACAGGTAACTATGCCTAGCGAGGTGGTTATTTTATGAGACTAATAAATTGTAAATAAATGTAATTAAAAATGTTAAAATAAATAAATAATTGAATTAAACAGAATTAAATTAAATTGAGCTACCGAATTTATTCCATTTAGCTGTTACCCACTGTATAATATAAACAATCATTTGCCGATAATGGATTTCGAGCAATTATTTCTCGCTGAGGCCGGTTCTGTCTTCAAAAATAATTAAATGGTTTGTTTGCGGTTATGTCAGAGTTTTTAAGTGTGATAATGGCTAATGGCGCACGTGAGAACGCCCGCCAACTTCGTTTTAATTGCTGGAAACTGGGTTAATATTTAATGGACTCCATTTATTCAAATTGTTATTAGCAAAATCTGCAATAAAAAATTGTGTATATCTGTGCGAATCAGATGATAATCAGTGTAATGACAATTTGCAATTTAGGACAATAAAACCAATGTTGCTCTTCGTATCATGGCAATGAAAGATGACCACGAGGATTGACCAATTTTCCTTGAATTTCCCATATAAAATTTTATCTCTATTATAATAATTTAATGAATATGTAAAGAAAACACAATGTTATAATAATAATAATAATAATAATAATAATAATAATAATAATAATAATAATAATAATAATAATAATAATAATAATAATAATAATAATAATAATAATAATAATAATAATAATAATAATAATAATAATAATAATAATAATAATAATAATAATAATAATAATAATAATAATAATAATAATAATAATAATAATAATAATAATAATAATAATAATAATAATAATAATAATAATAATAATAATAATAATAATAATAATAATAATAATAATAATAATAATAATAATAATAATAATAATAATAATAATAATAATAATAATAATAATAATAATAATAATAATAATAATAATAATAATAATAATAATAATAATAATAATAATAATAATAATAATAATAATAATAATAATAATAATAATAATAATAATAATAATAATAATAATAATAATAATAATAATAATAATAATAATAATAATAATAATAATAATAATAATAATAATAATAATAATAATAATAATAATAATAATAATAATAATAATAATAATAATAATAATAATAATAATAATAATAATAATAATAATAATAATAATAATAATAATAATAATAATAATAATAATAATAATAATAATAATAATAATAATAATAATAATAATAATAATAATAATAATAATAATAATAATAATAATAATAATAATAATAATAATAATAATAATAATAATAATAATAATAATAATAATAATAATAATAATAATAATAATAATAATAATAATAATAATAATAATAATAATAATAATAATAATAATAATAATAATAATAATAATAATAATAATAATAATAATAATAATAATAATAATAATAATAATAATAATAATAATAATAATAATAATAATAATAATAATAATAATAATAATAATAATAATAATAATAATAATAATAATAATAATAATAATAATAATAATAATAATAATAATAATAATAATAATAATAATAATAATAATAATAATAATAATAATAATAATAATAATAATAATAATAATAATAATAATAATAATAATAATAATAATAATAATAATAATAATAATAATAATAATAATAATAATAATAATAATAATAATAATAATAATAATAATAATAATAATAATAATAATAATAATAATAATAATAATAATAATAATAATAATAATAATAATAATAATAATAATAATAATAATAATAATAATAATAATAATAATAATAATAATAATAATAATAATAATAATAATAATAATAATAATAATAATAATAATAATAATAATAATAATAATAATAATAATAATAATAATAATAATAATAATAATAATAATAATAATAATAATAATAATAATAATAATAATAATAATAATAATAATAATAATAATAATAATAATAATAATAATAATAATAATAATAATAATAATAATAATAATAATAATAATAATAATAATAATAATAATAATAATAATAATAATAATAATAATAATAATAATAATAATAATAATAATAATAATAATAATAATAATAATAATAATAATAATAATAATAATAATAATAATAATAATAATAATAATAATAATAATAATAATAATAATAATAATAATAATAATAATAATAATAATAATAATAATAATAATAATAATAATAATAATAATAATAATAATAATAATAATAATAATAATAATAATAATAATAATAATAATAATAATAATAATAATAATAATAATAATAATAATAATAATAATAATAATAATAATAATAATAATAATAATAATAATAATAATAATAATAATAATAATAATAATAATAATAATAATAATAATAATAATAATAATAATAATAATAATAATAATAATAATAATAATAATAATAATAATAATAATAATAATAATAATAATAATAATAATAATAATAATAATAATAATAATAATAATAATAATAATAATAATAATAATAATAATAATAATAATAATAATAATAATAATAATAATAATAATAATAATAATAATAATAATAATAATAATAATAATAATAATAATAATAATAATAATAATAATAATAATAATAATAATAATAATAATAATAATAATAATAATAATAATAATAATAATAATAATAATAATAATAATAATAATAATAATAATAATAATAATAATAATAATAATAATAATAATAATAATAATAATAATAATAATAATAATAATAATAATAATAATAATAATAATAATAATAATAATAATAATAATAATAATAATAATAATAATAATAATAATAATAATAATAATAATAATAATAATAATAATAATAATAATAATAATAATAATAATAATAATAATAATAATAATAATAATAATAATAATAATAATAATAATAATAATAATAATAATAATAATAATAATAATAATAATAATAATAATAATAATAATAATAATAATAATAATAATAATAATAATAATAATAATAATAATAATAATAATAATAGAATAGAATAGAATACGTTTATTGACTTTTATACATACATTTTCTAGTACATTTGAAGTCCAAATAATAAAAATAAAAACAGTCAAATGTTAAAAATAAAAACAGTCAAATATTAAAGATAAAAACAGTCAAATATTAAAAGAAGTGTTACATAAAGAGTAAAAAAGACATTTAAAAAAGATTTACATAATCTGATATAATTAAAAGACATAAAAGTTTTACATACTAGAAGTATAAATAATTAATATAATAAAATGTAATAGAATGTAATAAAATTGGATAAAATTTAAATTAGAATTTGCTCAGTATTAAATGACATGACCCAGGTATTCGTCAACGGAGTAGAAGCAATGTTGTAAGAGAAAATTACAAGTAAATTTGCGATATCTTTGGCATGACATACTTCTAAAATCAATACTTTTGAATAGGCTACTCATTTTGTTATATAGACGCATATCTAATTTGTTTTCTTGAGTAGTAGTAATCCTGGAATAATATGCAATAAGATTGTCCGCCCCTCTTGTTTCATGATTGTGAACATCACAGTGTCTTGCGATGCTAGGTACATTTTTATGAATAGTAATCAAAGATTCTAATATGTAAATACAGGGCAACGGAAGGACTTTGTACTTTTTAAATAATTCCTTACAGTGTGCACGATACTCTGATGCGTCAACTATACGCAAAGCAGCTTTTTGTAACTTAAAAGCTTTATCGGCACTTCTTGAGCGACCCCATATTGTTACACCATAGGATAAATGGGAATGAATGATTGCATAATATACTGTTACCATAACTTTATTGCATATTATACCAGTACGGATTTGTCTCATAACATAGAGTTGCGATGAGAGCTTAGAACAAAGAGTGTCAATATGACTAGACCAGTTTAATCTAGTGTCAAATGTGACACCTAATAGTTTGACTGGCTCAGATTTCAAAGCAAATTTATCTGAGCTAAATAATATACCTTGTGTTTTATTTTCGTTAAGCTTTAGTTTGTTGCTCGAAAACCAGGTTCTAGCCGTATTTAGACTGTCTATGCTCTTACACTCTTCCCCTTTCACTAATATAGTTGTATCATCTGCGTATAAAACTACCGAGGACATTGTGTCCATAGCTGAAGGCAAATCATTGACATATAAAAGGAATAATACAGGACCCAGTACTGAGCCCTGTGGTACTCCATTTATTACCTGGGTGATGTCAGTGTCTATATTATTATAGCTAACGTACTGTGATCTACTAGCTAAATAAGAATGTAACAAGCTTAGAACATTGCCTCTAAATCCATAAAACTCCAGTTTCTGAATAAGGATATCACTGTTAACGCAGTCGAATGCCTTAGTCAAGTCACACATTACAGCATGTGTCTGTGTTCCTTGATCAATGCCTTCGACAATATAATCAATGACATTAATAAGTGCCGATATGGTAGACTTACTATTTTGGAAGCCAAACTGAGCCTGAGATAATATAGATTTACTTTCCAAATAATTGATTAAATTGTTTTTTAAAATTTTTTCAAATATCTTTGAGATAACTGGCACTATCGCGATTGGCCTGTAATTATCGACAGCATCTACGTTACCTTTTTTATACACAGGTACAATTTTAGAAACCTTTAACGAAGCTGGCCAGTTACCTTCCTTCACGCATTTATTGAACAGGAGTGCTAGTGGTTTGACTAAGTAATTGAGGGAAGCTTTGAACATTGCAGCATTTAGTTCATAATAGTCAAGGCCTGGCTTGTTACGTAATGATAAGATTGCTTCTTGAACATCTGATTCTATAATAGGGGCCATAAAGAAAGAATAAGGAGGTCTTGGGAGATTATTCATATACGACAGCGGATTAATTACAGGACCATTAATACTATTTAAGATTGTATCAGAAATAGTAGAAAAAAACTCAATAAATTGTTGTGAGTCTAATGAGGTGCTACAAGTAGATGAATGTTTACCTTGACGCTCTTTATTTACTATATTCCAAATTGTCTTGCTCTTATTTTCTGCTGTATTTATGGCTGTCGCGTAAGCATTCCTTTTTGTTTCTTTAAGAGCCTTTTTGTATTGTTTACGTCGCGTGCAATACATATGCCAATATTGGGGGGAGTTAGAATTTCTAAATTCTTTTTTAAGATTAAATACTTCATCTCTTAGCTCCCTCAATTCTTTAGTATACCATTTTATTTCTGGTTTTTTATAATATATGGATTTGATTGGAAAGCAAATATCTGCATTCTTTTTTAATAAATCTACAATGACATTACTGCAATGATTAGAATCAGATGTATCCAAATTATAATGAGCCCATGTAATGTTACTTATTTTATTGGCAAATTGCGTTAAATTATTATCATTTATAACTCTCTTTTTATAGTAGATATTATTTTTCACTACAGGAGCCCTAAAAAATATATAGTTTCCACTATGGTCCGAGACAAGGGGCTCACACACACCCACATGCAAATCATTATAATCAATGTTTGTGATAATATTATCCAGGCAAGAAGACGTTGATTCTGTAATCCTTGTGGGGGTGTGAATCATGTGTTTGAGACCATATGCAGAAAAAATATTACGAATGTCCTTTGAGTACTCAGTATTATCATCCAAATTCAAATTTATATCACCAACAATAATAATGGTTTTATATTTTTTGTGCCATAGATGGTCAATAAGATTGTGAAATTGATCAATAAAAATTTTTATATCACCTTTACTAGATGACCTATATAATGTTATTATGATACAGCCTAGGTTATTGAGTTCAGCGGCACAGAATTCTGCATCAATTGGTTTACTGAATAGTGAGACATCTACACTGCGCATTACCAGATTTTCTTTGGCAAAAATAGCCACGCCTCCATGGGCTTTTCTACTTTGCCTACAGAATGAAGAAACTAAATTATAATGTTGTATTTTTATAACTTTTATACTAATTGCATCAAGCCAATGTTCAGATACGCAGAATATATCGTATGGGTTTAAATTAAAAAATACATTTAAATCATCAATCTTATTAAATATACTTTGAACATTTAAATGAAATACAGAGCACTCAAATTCATTAAATACTATTTTGTTAACATCGTTAACTGTTATGTTGTTATTAAATCTTATTGTTCTAGTGTCTTTTTGGAAAAAGAAATCTATTTACAACAACCTTATCGGGCCATATTTCAGCATTAAGGATCTTCTCGGATTCATTTTCGGGCACAGTTATTTTAAATGAGGCATATATCTCTGGTTGTCTTGCATTTAACTTCTCGACTTTTACATTGGCAGCAAAGCTTTTCAGATAATTAAAAAGTTCTATTTCATCTGTCTGGGGATCGAAATGTGTAGCGTGATAGTATCTGGGCTTATTTATTAAATTTGGTATTAAATCCGCAGCTTTGAATGGACATCCAGATGTACCTAGACCAGAACCAGTCAATATATTTCTTCCACTTCTTTTTTGAGCCAGCTTAGGATCAGCACCAGCACTACCAAGACCGACAATATGTTGACAAATTCGTTCAGATTCTACACTCAGCATAGCTGTGGATACTTGCTGCTTAGATATCGGCTGTTTGTGTTTGCTGACTTTACTGCTAGTAGCCGTGACGGTAGATTGAGATCTATTATCTATGGGTAGCGCATGCTTTTCAGTTTTTCCTGCATCCTGCTCCGGCTTCATGAAATTTAAAAGCTTTATCTGCTCTTGAAGCGCATTTATAGCTATGTCTTGATTTTTTATGATCAAGTCTTTTTGCTTAATAAGTTCTTCTAGGTATTTTATGGTAATTTTATCAGAGGAAATGGTCATATCATCTGATAAAATTTCACGGACAGACGTATTTTCTTTAGCTGGTGTTACACCTTCAACTTCTATATCCGAGCAACAAATAACCGTCTCATCTTCATTGAATATCACATTTTTCATCAATTTTAGACAGCAATTATGTGACAGTCTTCCACATTTTATGCATTTCGAACCTGTTTTCACCGAATTTTTACATCTAACACAGATTGCCTGCTGATTTAGGCCATCAGCTCCCATTTTAGGCATTATAACAAAATTTTAATCGAATTTAATATAATATAAATTTTGCCGTGGTGGAATGAACGAAGGTTCAGATTGTAAAAACTTGATTAAAACTTTATAAACACTACGGTCAATGAATAAGTTTTTGTGCAGAATCGGTTAAAATCTTATGATATCATGCAAATTTTTACTCACTAACAAGTCCACCTGATGTAAAGTGTTTCAATATCACACTGACACAGTTTTCACAATTTAAAAAAGTCATTAACTATTGATTTTCACAGACAATTTACGGAGCACAAAATTCCACGTGTCTACAGTTGCACAATTCCACCTAATAATAATAATAATAATAATAATAATAATAATAATAATAATAATAATAATAATAATAATAATAATAATAATAATAATAATAATAATAATAATAATAATAATAATAATAATAATAATAATAATAATAATAATAATAATAATAATAATAATAATAATAATAATAATAATAATAATAATAATAATAATAATAATAATAATAATAATAATAATAATAATAATAATAATAATAATAATAATAATAATAATAATAATAATAATAATAATAATAATAATAATAATAATAATAATAATAATAATAATAATAATAATAATAATAATAATAATAATAATAATAATAATAATAATAATAATAATAATAATAATAATAATAATAATAATAATAATAATAATAATAATAATAATAATAATAATAATAATAATAATAATAATAATAATAATAATAATAATAATAATAATAATAATAATAATAATAATAATAATAATAATAATAATAATAATAATAATAATAATAATAATAATAATAATAATAATAATAATAATAATAATAATAATAATAATAATAATAATAATAATAATAATAATAATAATAATAATAATAATAATAATAATAATAATAATAATAATAATAATAATAATAATAATAATAATAATAATAATAATAATAATAATAATAATAATAATAATAATAATAATAATAATAATAATAATAATAATAATAATAATAATAATAATAATAATAATAATAATAATAATAATAATAATAATAATAATAATAATAATAATAATAATAATAATAATAATAATAATAATAATAATAATAATAATAATAATAATAATAATAATAATAATAATAATAATAATAATAATAATAATAATAATAATAATAATAATAATAATAATAATAATAATAATAATAATAATAATAATAATAATAATAATAATAATAATAATAATAATAATAATAATAATAATAATAATAATAATAATAATAATAATAATAATAATAATAATAATAATAATAATAATAATAATAATAATAATAATAATAATAATAATAATAATAATAATAATAATAATAATAATAATAATAATAATAATAATAATAATAATAATAATAATAATAATAATAATAATAATAATAATAATAATAATAATAATAATAATAATAATAATAATAATAATAATAATAATAATAATAATAATAATAATAATAATAATAATAATAATAATAATAATAATAATAATAATAATAATAATAATAATAATAATAATAATAATAATAATAATAATAATAATAATAATAATAATAATAATAATAATAATAATAATAATAATAATAATAATAATAATAATAATAATAATAATAATAATAATAATAATAATAATAATAATAATAATAATAATAATAATAATAATAATAATAATAATAATAATAATAATAATAATAATAATGGGGTGGGTGGCTCAGTGGTAGAGCCTCTGCCTGTGGATCCAAGGGTCCCGGGTTCGAATCCTACCGTTGGCCGGAATTTTTTTATTTAATTTAATTATTTAAAATTAATTCTGATGCCTTGGTAGGATTCCCCACTTGACCATTCACTGTTGGGTTCTAATTAACAGTGCTGTTCCAAAGTGGCGCTGGGAAACAGTAACAAAGCTTATACAGAACACGAGGCGAAATAACCCTGGTAGTTGAAGCCGATGACACACCAAAAAAATAATAATAATAATAATAATAATAATAATAATAATGCGCTGGGAAACAGTAACAAAGCCTACACAGAACACGAGGCAAAAAAAATTCGTCTTGGAGCCGCCCTTTATTTAGAGCCTATTTGGAAGAGCTTCTTTAGAGCCACTATTTATTTGGAGCCTTAAAGTTCATGTCACTCAGACATATCGCATTATCATGATCTGTCAAAGTTTATCGAAACCATCCTGTTCACCTAATGAAACAAAAAAAGATACCAGGAATATTGAATAACATGTTTACCACCTTACTCGTTCACAGGAAATACGATACAATTTCATGGTGTTAACTATAAATCTGTTTTATATCCACTCACGTAAAACAACTTCTGCTAGTTTATTTATTGAGTATATACAAATAACAATTTGAAAGTGACAGGTTTATAAATTAATTACTACTAGCTACTCGTTACACTCTGATGAAAATTTTAGAATTAAATTGATAAATAAAGTGTGAGAACTAAGTTTGTTTTCATTAAAAAATATGAATATTGTTACGATTGGGTAAATCGTATACAGTCTAGGAGTCGTATAAATATTTGCTTGGACCTTATAATGATTAACTTGGACTTCGCATTTGTGTTTCGTCAACTGCACCATGTGTGGCACATCATAGAAAAGGAAATTTAATTGGAAAATTATCAAGGGTAATATATCAAGACCTTGATAATAGTCAGCTAAATCTAAATCTCGAGAAAATTTTAATATCAATTTGATGAGATTAGAGCCCGAGAGCTTTAGCTCGAGGGCTTTAATTAGTATTGTAAAAGTTATACGTTAAATAATGTAATTTAATAAATTTTATATATGTGTAAAAAATAAAAGATTAGGTCATCTTCTTTCTTTATTTATTCCAAGTTGAAAAGAAGACATTTTTCTGCAATAAATTATCAGATCATTACAACAGCAGACAGCAACAAAATCAAGAAAAACTTGTAAGGAAAATTAAGTATTTTCTCCACATTTCATTCACAGATACCTAAGTCAGAAAACATGTTAATTAATACATTATAAAACATTTGTTAAATATATTATTTATAAGACTGATTTATAGATTTTATTAGTTTAGTAGCTTAGTTGATATTCTTGGGACAAACAATGAATTATTTTAGAAAATATATACCCATTATATAAATATAATGCTTTAACCTTACTTTTTCTAATCAAACACTTTTTTAAATATACTGAAATATTGCCTACCCCTTATTCTGTATCTGGCCAAATTTCAATACTAGGTAGACGAGGAAGACAATATCGCCTATTCTTCGGTACGAACACGGAACGTCTTGAGAGGGGATATTGTAGTCATATTTTTCAAGCATTTTTATACCCGAAATTACTTTGCTAATTTAACAATTACGGTTTTATATTACGTCGAATTTTAAAAATTATTTTTTGATCTTGTTAAGAAAAAGATTTACTTAATAGTACCTAATCGTTTAAAGAGTAATGCATACTTTATAAACTTTATAATTTTTATTCCAAAAAGTATGCTAACCCAGGGATAGTACTACTTATTCTCTTTGCACATAAAACATTTCGGTTAACACCATTCTGGAACAAATCAGCGAGTGGATAAAACTAAATAATCTTAAACTAGTACGGGAAAAAACAGAGGCGGTGTTACTAATTGGTAGGAAAACTGAGTAGACCAATTACGTTTACAATTGAAGAAGTCCTTATTATACCAAAAAATAGTATAAAATATCTCGGGGTCACGATAAATAGAAGCTTGTCATATAAGGAACACTTAGAGAATGCAGTGGCTAAAGCCAAGAAGGTTATGGCCCCGTTAATAAGACTAATGCCTAATAAAGGGGGAGCTACGGAAACAAAGAGAAGACTATTAGGAACAGTAGTCCATTCAATCCTAATGTATGCATCAGAGATTTGGAAAAATGCTTTGCATAAAAAAATGAACCGAAAAAAGTTAGCACAATTACAAAGAACGATGGCGATCAGAATCTGCAAAGGATATAAAACAATATCTATGGAAAGCAGCCTCGTTATCTCCGGAATTACACCCATAGACTTGCTTATTGAAGAAAGATGTAAAGTTTAAGGTAAGAACATAGCTGAAAAAAAAAAAGAAGCTAGAACAAAAACTTTAGAAACGTGGCAGAGAAAATAGGAAACATGTAAAAAAGGAAGGTGGACGTACATACTCATATCTAATATTGAAAAATGGAATAAACGAAAACTAGGAAACGTCACATTTCATATTACTCAATGTCTGACTGGTCACGGCTGGTTTATGGATTACCTGAATAGACTAGGTGTGACTGAGCAACAAGATTGCATGTACTGTCCGAATGTGGATACAATAGAGCATACCCTGTTTCAATGCGGAGAATGGAGAGAGATCAGGCTAGAGCTAAAAGAACGTATTGGAATTAGGCTCTCTAGAGAAAACATTTTAGACGTCATGACCAGTAACATAGACCAATGGCAACAGATAGGTAACATGATGAAAAAGATACTGGGACAAAAGGAAAGAGATTTTAGAAGAAGAAATATATGAGGATACCCTAACAACTTGTTAAAAAGTACCTGCGACCATCCTACATCACGTCTCTTCGAAGTTATGCCGACTGGTGATTCCGAGGAGACTCTTCTGTGAAAAAGAGTGGAGGTTTTTTAGTCGGTAGAAATCCGGCACTATCAGACGTCTTAGACGTCTAATATCTTTTGAAGATTTTGTTATCACTCTTAATAAAAAAAAAGTGTGGTATTATCTTTAAGATTGTGTCTTCTAAGATTAAACCAGAATGCCTATTATTTATACAAATTTATTGCTACTGTCAGCGGAGCAATAACTCTTAACTATATTACGAAAATCAGTTTTCTTTACATTGACAGATTTTTAAATCCAATGAAAACAATACACAGTGGAATAAAAATGGCAACTTTAGTAAGTTTATTCTGCCATC